TGTTAAGCGGATCATGAAACAAATGCACATATCTATTTGTGACATGATGTACCATGTGTGTGTGAAGTTTGGAACTTGATCCGAAAAAAAAAATGACGTGCATCAAGGTCCTATTATGTTTAATGTATATGCCAAATTTGAACAAAATCCGTCCATGCATAACTGAGATCCGGGTCCGGAATGGTGAAAATGTGCGATTTCAATGCATTTTCGGCCTTAAAGCGGCCGCCATTTGGCTATCGTTAATGAGATCATGAAACAAATGCACATACATATTTGTGACATGATGTACCTTGTGTGTGTGAAGTTTGAACTCGATCAATCCAAGCATGTCTCAGATACGGATCCAGAACTGAATTTTTTAAAACAAAATAGCCGCCAGTTGGCCATTTCAAACCCGATCCAAAAAAAAAAAATGACATGCATCAAGGTTCTATTATGTTTAATGTATGTACCAAATTTGAACAAAATCCGTCCATGCATAACTGAGATCCGGGTCCGGAATGGTGAAAATGTGCGATTTTGATGCATTTTCGGCCTTAAAATGGCCGCTATTCGGCTATCGTTAATTGGATCATGAAAAAAATGCATGTGCATATGTCCCATATAATGTGTGATGTATGAGTGAAGTTTGAACTTAATCGGTCCATGCATGTTCGAGATAGAGGTGATCACGGACGCACGCACATACGCACAGACGCACACAGGGCAAAACATAAGTCCCTGTTTTCGGACTACGTCCGAACAGGGACTAATAAAGATTATTTTATTAAGCTTTTTATCAACAAAGAAAACCAGGTAAATATGCAGAAAAAAAACTGTAAACAACAAGTCATTGTCAATGACATAGTCCCTGTCATGTTTTTAGTTACTTTGTCAAACAATGAAAAGCATACTGTAAAATGACTAATTTTGACTGGGTTTAAATTTCGCTGATTTACCGCTTCAGGCATATTCAGTGGGTTTTAAATTCACGGTTTTATCATTTAGATAATGTGTTCTATGCTAAATTTCACATATTCACTGGGTTTTAATTTAGCGCATTTTCCAGTCAGCGAAATAAGAAAATTAAACGTGAAAATCAGTCTTTTTACAGTAGATAATAATGTGGTCTAGGATTTCATGTAGAAATTAGTGTGCCACACTCAGTTCTTTCAAGTGCAATCGGCTGTTTGCAAGAAATGTGATGCAATGAGCCCCAAATTATAGCCCCCCCCCAAAAAAAAAAACCCTGGTCTATTCAATCCAGTAGGTATATATATAATCTGTGCTAAAAACGTTAACCATGTTCTTGAGACTGTATTCATGCTCTGAGATTCATGCTCTCCCACAAATTTGACCTGAGTCAGGGCTTTCTCATGAGAAAATTATCTACATGGCCAGTACACCACCACCATCACCCCACCCTGCCTCTCCCACCTACCCCATCCATGTTGAGCAGTGGGTGCATTTTCTGTATTTCATCTGGATCCATTAGTCTTTGCGGTGCTTTATTCCAACCAGCTCGCATCATCTGATACTTAAATTCATCCACCCTTTCTGGTGTAACTGCCAACCGAATACTCCCAGGTGTATGGAAGCCAATTTTCTAAAAAAAAAAAAAAAAAAGAAGTAATTTGTCAATGTATCATTCTCAAATAATCTTGTGGTGAGAGTTGATGAAACAATTGCATTCTCACTGACACCGTTCAATGTCAATCGAACACTACATTTTTAATAGTTTGGGATAAATCATAATCTTATTTGGCCTACAGTATGCAGTATCAAACAACAATATTAAAATATAATGTTTTCGTCCATATTGCATCCTTAAATGTTACATAAGGGAGTATTTTTCAAATACAAATTTTCATAATATCAGTAGAATTTATCAAGAAATAGGAAGCGAGTGCCCACCAGTGGCAACTTTTCAGTTTGGCCCTGAAAAAAAATACAAGATTTGCACATGTTCAGTTAACTGGAAACTACAACAATTGGCCTGATATTTTTGGTATTCGATTCTTACCTGTCCAGTTTCTTCTTCCAAAGTATTGAACAGTTTAATACTGTCGTAATGTATATTCCTTACGTTAATTCCAGGGTGGAAATATGTTGCAAGACCAGCCTGTTAACAAACAACACAGTCAGCATTAGTATAGATGTAGGGTACAGGTATTTCTTTCAGTAGAAACTACTGAATGGTAACAGTTTTGTTATTTTTCCAAAAATTTTACACAAATAGTTTTTTTTTTTTTTTAAATTTTTGATCAACAAGATGTAAACAATCAGAAATTATGTTCATCTGGTCCAAAATTAATGAAGAAATTGTAGAAAAATTCATAAAATGTGCAAAATCTTGAAGCAAAATTTTGGCGGGAAAATTTTTAGTATTCTAAAGGTTAACCTTTTCACTACAGTTCTTGAGTTTTGTGTATCACATAGCATTGTTTAAATTGAGCTGTTTATTGTAGGTGTTCAGAAAAATCTGTGAAGTTTTGCATGTTTACAAATTTAGGGGGGAAAGTATGTATTACCCCCAAGTTTAACCACTTTATTATTGCCCAGAAACGTCTGTGTAAATTATAGGGAAAATTGTAAATTGTGTAAAATACTTTACACAAATTGGTCAATTATTTGCAGCAATTCAAATGCTGTACCCCCCGGTACATTCACATTTCACTATCAGTTCCACTTAAAAAGTTCAAAGGAGAAACACGTATTGAAAGCTATGTGAAGAAATGGGATGGGCTTTTGAATCCATGACCTTGTGTATTATTCATCTTCACTGGGTTTATGGATCTATACAGTTTAATGAGGTTACCAAAACTGAAATTGTTCCCTTGTCTGTAAAGCCACCCAGAAAGAGAGAAAGTGAGCGCACTGAGATCACATTACATTGCATATATTACATTATGAATATGGTCATAACCATTTAAAACAGGACAAATATTTCCACTATGATAGAGGGACTGTGGTATTATATTCTGTGCTTATTAGTATGCGATGTCAAACTGTTTCATACCTCACTGTGAAGATGCATATGTGATAAAAGCCACTATGATTACTAAATATGAATAGATTCCATGAATGATCAAATTAATAAAAAACTTAATGATGGAAAAAGGCACAATATGTAATCAGTGCACTTATCGTTACTGCAAATTCAAGACAAGTGGAAGTAATTTTCACATGATTTGTTTTTCAACAACAGCATGCAAACTAGTGCATGCTGGGATTTTTTTGGACATCATAACATAACAATAATAATAATGGATAATAACAAAAACACGGCGGTACAGCATACCAATTGTGATGCTTTGAGATTTTTCTACACAAAATTTAACGAGTCATTTATAATTTAGCCAAAAACATATCTGCCATGAGAACAAGCATCATAATTTTATATGTGTATCCAGTCCATACTTACAGCGTGCCATGTAGATCCAGCGGTTAATTCTGTTTTTTCTAATAATACAACATCTTTCATTCCTGCTTTGGCTAAATGATAAGCGGCACTGACACCTACACACCCACCACCAATAATGACGGTATCTGCAGACTCATGCACTCTTTTTTTCAGTTTTCCATTCGTGGCTCCACTGCATATAAAGTAATGCAAGAAATCGTAGATTAATTCTCAGTATTGAGACAAATACATGCCAGAAAATTATTTAAATAATTTAAATGAATAAATAAATAAATAAATAAATAAATAAATAAATAAATAAATAAATAAATAAATAAATAAATAAATAAATAAATTAATTAATTAATTAATAAATTAGATCTAATTAAATACAGGAACCTTCCCTATGATGTAATTTGTCTACCAATTAGAAAATTAAAAGGTAGAATGAATAGAATGAACGATTATACAGATGAGGGATGGATCATTTAAAAATTGGGGGTGTCAGAAAAAGTGTACAAAATATTTTTTTCCCACGTAGCTTTTCTGCTAATTTGTTTTTCCATGATGAATTTACTGTCATTTTTGTTTCACTGTAATAAATATTTTTATGAGTGCAGAATTACTTTTTTTTGTTATTGATCTCGGTGATAATTTTTTCCCCCCCAATTCAGCCATTCCCTCTAGAGTTTCTAATGGTTAATTCCTAATTGCTCTGAAACAGTTGTACATAACACATGGGATGAACACGATTTGGCACAAAACTATTGCTTCAAAAGTGACATACGAGATAAATTACTAAAGTGAAGCCCATGAAAATGTTTTGTTTTATTGGTTTTTTTTTAATGAGGCGGTTTGATTATATAACAGTTTCAATATAATCAGCATCTTTTTTATTGAACATTCATAATTTTAAGTGGTATTATTCATATTCCTGGCAGCTTGGCATAACACCAGTATAATTATACTATAATCTATTAGAAGTACATCTCCCATAAACACACACTTAAAGAACAAATTATATTTACCCTTACTACCGATACAGGAAACCCATTTTTTCATTTTTATAAATATTTATATGCATCATAATTAAAATTGAAACAAGAGTTTTCTATTGGCTGACAGGATAACAATGAAACAGTTTCAAATGAAGACAGTAGGCACCACTCTCAATGATTGGCTGGTTGGATTCAACAGCCATTGAATATTAATGAGAATAAAGGGAATGGGTTTGTTGTGTCATTAGTACAATTCAGTTTGTCCTAGATGTTTTAGAAAGCGCGTGTACTACTAAAAGAACACATAGCACGTCGAACTGCAGGGCATATAAACATAGCTTTACCTGACACCCACCCACCCCCGATTGTCACAATGTACGCCCCTGCTTGTTGTTGGCCATCAAGCATATTACACGAAATCATAACATGCCACGTTTATCACAATTATTTTGATTCACTTTCGCGCACGTTGCACTGCATCACGTGCATTTTGGTGTGCGTATATGCAAATGCACTGGCGCTATTATAAACACTATACCTCGCTAACTTATTGCTGGAATACGAGAACGTTCTTTTATAGGAAGGCGCGACCAATCCCAATTGGTGCGGGTGACACAAATATGGCGACCATTTCATCTGCTTTAGCCACCCAGTCCCACTTGCTGACCGTAAGAATGCCATGGTTTCAATTAGACCGTCGGCTCAGATGTTATTTCTTCATAACATAGAACTACGCTAGCACGATATCACGACATTCATCAAGGTCATCGATTCCCTGTCAATCACTCGTCAGCTAACCTGTTCAATGGGTCAGGGCGTACATGTGACAGATTGTTTAAGCTGTTCCACCAATTAGACATACTCCCCGATGCACCAACGTCACTTTTTTTTAAACAGCACATCACACGGATATTCCCGCCACCGACCTTATATGGCATGCTATGATATTGGGGTCGAAATAAAGGTCATAGCTTGGCCACTGTGTGGTCCCAATCACTACAACCAGTATACTAAACAGTCGCCATGCAGTCGTGACCGCAGCACGAGCTAGTAATATAATAATTCCTACGTGGCTGTGTACTGGGCTGGCAGCGGCATCCACATTTTCACAGATATCTAAGATGGCGGCGAACCCACATGATTGAGAAAATGTCATTTTAGTTTGCTGTTTGACACTGCATATTGATGAATATATTGGTCTATGATTTACCATGAACTGAAAACGTTGTTTCTGTAGCTCACATCTAAATACTCGTTCGAGCAAACAATAAAATGCTCTTAATACGCATGTGCACTAATTATTTTGGTACGTACGTTAAACAATCATTGCACATCATTTTCGTCAAACAAATACTGCCGTGTGTCCTGCAAACATTTTCCGTTTATGATGAATTATAATCCGACTAGGTCAACAGTATGGAGTATCGAACAATATTAAAATATAAACGTTTTCATCCACATTGCATTCTTAAAGCGCGGTAGTCGTCGCGCTGCGCATGTGCGACATTTGTGTTGATGAACATTGATTTCCCACAATCCAATGC